TCTAATTAGGGAATTTGCTGCTTCAGTTTAGCGGTGATGGAGCAGGGCTCTTTATCAGGCAGGCCAGGCCTCATACCTGGCAAGCTGTGACATTCGACTGAGCCAGATTCTGTGAATGGCCCACATCCCTCCACTGCTCTCCACGGACTAAATAAATGAACCACCGGATGTTCTGGTGAAAACCAGTCAAAGATGATGACTGAACAAAGATTCATGAAAAAGATAGATTAAATAACAAATTCATTTCCTTTAGATTTCTTTCATGAATATATGCAAATAATGCATTGAATTAAAAATGAGTTTCTATCTATTTTCATGTTCAAAGCGTTAAAAGGACACATTGTAAAATCGTGTGTGATTTGTTCTGACCTGCGATCAACCCTCTGAGCTCGTCTTTCATAACAGCAGCTTTCAGTTTTCCCTCTAATACTTGCACAGGCAACCTAATTACATTCAACACAATTAATACGCTGTAAATGCTCTGATGTAACCATAAGAAAACAGCATTTTTTTCCCCATCACACAGGACACAGGAAAAGAAAACAAAGTGTGGAGAAAGCACTAAGTGCTGACAAGTGGCTGTAATTTGCAAATCTGATCGACTCGGTTATTCCACTAATTAACGTGGCCACAAATGCAGACTGGTAACAACAGAAAGAGCTGCTCATATGCAAATGTTAAAATCCACAAATGCTACAACGGTTAAAACTTTTACTGATAGTAAAGCATCGTGTTGTCTGTGAAGATTCTCAGTCATCCGGGTCATGGTTATTCTCGTGGATTATTCGTAGCAACTGGACTTGCTTGAGTTCCTTGAAGACGTTTAGACTCTCATCCAAGAGTTCCAGATGCTTGTATCCTTAAGGATTCCTTAACACATGAGTTTCGGTTTCAACTGGGGGTTTGTTGCTCCTCCCCCTCGTTATGTGAGTCATTAGTGCTTCCCCTGTCACTCATTTAAAGACAACAACGTATAGATTTTGGCCAGGGAGGACAGATGGTTTGAGAGAGGGGTGAAAGAAGCCATCTATGTCCACCTGGACAGACCATCCCTCAACAGAGGTGGAGGTCTGAGGCATCACCTCTCATCTGTTTGCAATTCAGTCCTAAGATCCCTCCCCAGGAAGATGAAACCACATCCACACCGAGCCACAAAAGACCCTAACGAAGCCCTTTGCGGCAGGGGGAGCACTAACGACTCACATAACGAGGGGGAGGAGCAATAAACCTCCAATTGAAACCGAAACTCAGGTGTTAATGGCTCCTTTAGGATAGAAGTATGTGGAACTCCCAACTAGTCAGTCAGAGCTGATGAAGCCTCTTGGATGAGAGGTGGAACGTCTTCAAGGAACTCAAGCAAGTCCAGCTGCTACGATTAAACTACCAGAATAAAGTATCCAGGATATGACACGTGTAAGATATGATCAAAAGCCTAACAACAAACTTTTAAATGATGCAGTACGTCACTACAGTAAAAGCGTAAATAAATAAGTTCTGCTTTTCCATGACGATCTTACAACGTGGTGTGGTTGGAAGCTGAATTGAACCCTGTGTTGATAGTTCTTAACTCTATCAGTTAAGTAGTTATTAATATGTGGACCATCATCTCAGATTAAAACACATTAAGGAGCTTAAGAAAAGACGACAAGTTTGGCTGGTTGATGCGACGCTGGCAGCATCAGAGCGTGCACGCCATGTTCAAGTACCAGAAGGTGCAACAGCGAAAATTCCTCAAACTGAGCCTATATTTTGTTCCATAAATGCACAAATGTGATTTTAAAAAAAATGCTTAGGAGAGGAACAAACTACAGCTGCAATGCATTTGCCTGGCATTTGTTGTTTTTCTTTTTTTACATTACTAATGGAATGCTGTTACCTTGTACCTGGAGAGATGTGAAAGCTTTTTTCTTTTCTTTGCTTTAATGTGTCTGTCACAGCCAGAGAAAAGCAGCACTCATCTCTACTGAACCAAATATTGGCAAAAAAAAAAAAAAAAAGGAGAAAAAAGGTCCCCGTAGTAAACACAGAAAATGGTAATAATAGTAAGCAAATATGGGTCACGAAATGAGCCCATTTCTATTTTATGCTGACCAGGATGGACAACAGGATGCATTGTAAGTGGACAGCAATAGTTTTGTCTCCATTGTTAGGTGTGATGGAAAAGTATTTATTTTATAGTCGGGAAGCCTGAACGTATTCAACGGGTCCGTGAATAAAAAGACGGATCGCAACGTGGCATTGTTGGTTTAAAAATGATTTGAGCAACGAATCAGTGATCTAAGTAGTGCCTATTAGCTGCGTAATTTGTGACTAATCGCTATGTGTGTTCAACTGTATATAAGGGAGATGTGAAATAAATGGAGCAGATAAACGATATCAACACGTAAACCTAAGAACTCATGTATGGCACAATCAAAGCATCAATATTTACATACATCCATATGACCACCCTTATTGTTTTTATACATTATTCCATCCTGTATTCTGTTTCCACGTGCTAACCTCTAACCATTATCCAGAACGACGCTGCTGCTCGAGTCCCGACTAGAACCAGGCAGTAACGACCATATTAATCCAGTGCTCAAGTCTCTGCACTGGCTTCCTGTTGCTCAGAGAATTGACTTTAAAACAGCTTTGCTTGTGTACAAATCTCTTCATGGTCTTGTACCAAAGTACATCTCTGACATGTCAGTGCCATATGAACCATCTCGGGCTCTGAGAACCTCAGGGAGGGTCTCCTGCTGGTGCCCAGAGTCAGGACCAAACACAGTGAAGCTAGAACAGGGGTGCCCAATCCTGGTCCTCCAGAGCCCCTATCCAGCATGTTTTAGATGCTTCCCTCTTCCAACACACCTGATTCAAATGATCAGCTCATCATCAAGCTCTGCAGAAGCCTGATAACGATCCTGATCATGTGAATCAGGTGTTGGAAGAGGGAAACATCTATAACATGCCGGACTGTGGCCCTCGAGGACCAGGATTGGGCACCCCTGAGCTAGAACTACTACTACTACTACTACGACTACTACTACTACTACTACTACTCTGAGAACCTCAGGGAGGGTCTCCTGCTGGTGCCCAGAATCAGGACCAAACACGGTGAGGCTGCGTTCCAGCATCATGCAGCTAAAATCTGGAACAGTCTTTCAGAAGATGTGAGACAGGCCACAGACTCTGGCTGAAAACATCTCTATTTAGTTGAGCATCTGACAGCTGAAAGTATTTCATCTGTACTCTTCTTCTATATTTATGTTTTTATGGATTGATTTCATCTGCCTCTTTGCTTTTAATGTAATTAATTAATAATGGTGTTTATGTTCTGTGGACTGATTTTATCTGTCTTCTTATACGTTTGTGTGAAGCACTTACCTCGGGTATGAAATGAAATGAAAAATACTTTATTTATCCCGGAAGGGAAATTCAATAAAATTGTGTATGAATTGTGCTATACAAATAAACCTGCCTTGCCTCACCCGAGTCCTGCCTTTCATTTCCAACCATCCCACCTTCCACTTTCTCTGTCCTTTAATCCGACACCCTCTTTCCAATATTCCCGTCTCCTGTCCTTCACTCCACTGTTAAATCCTCTTACATCTGTAATACGGCGGCTTATTAGTGTTCACTAATTACTTGACAGCTCTTCATCAATCATGCGTGATCAATGAGGGGTGACATTTCTCAGTCCTATTGTCCAACTGCTACGAGTATATTCATGTTGTTTAGTTGACTTGTTTTCATATTTATTCTCACAGTTGTTTTATTGTTTTGGATTCATATTGTGATCGTCCCTGCCAACATGCCTTAAAGAGAATTTAAAAAGCACAGTTTTTCTTTAAAGTTTGCCAGTGCTGGGGTTTTGCATGCCTTTGTGGCTACAGTGGGGCTTTTTTTTGTCACCTTCCAGCCTCCTCTGTGTAATTTTCTGTTTGGTCTAAAATTTAACAGGACTAGTTGTGACGCTTTGCAAAAAAAAGAAAGTTTCCCCTTTGCTTCTCTGTTCATTGCCTCGGTTTCCCTGTTTCTGTTCAGCACAAGATAAGAGCTTCTCTTATCTTTCCATCCATCCGTGTCCAAGCTCCTCCAATAAATAACCTTTATTTTTAATGTCACGTTTTCTTCACCAATTGCCATCACTTTTTAAATAATTCATCCCCATCCACCACCACTTTGTTGTTCCATCAAGCTCTCCCCCTTTTCTTGATCCTACTTTAATTCCCTCCTCCTTCGTTTTTCCTCTTCTGCGTCCCGTGGATTCCCAGTCCGCGCAATAAGTGATCAAATGCTCCGGCAAGCCAATCAGGCTACACTAGCGGTCATATTAATCTGACTCACTGGTTATGTGCAGGAGCACTAAATCAATACCGTTCCTCATCCCACTGAGGGCCACACAAGCACACGCGCCGCTACAGACTACAGCATGCGAGGTGTCCCAATGCTCTGGGCCTGTGATAAATCATCCAGCCAGTTTCGTTCAATCTGCCACCCCTCACAGCTGCCTACAGACCTGGAGTAGTGGCTCTGACGCCTCGAGGCGACCGCAAAGCCACAACTGTGATCTTTACGAGCTACGATTGCCTGAAGTAATGAGACTATGAGAATTAAGTCCATGGCGGTGGATGATTGCTGCTACCGTCGCCGTTCTTTGTGGTTTGAAAGGTGCTTGATTACATAATGCCGGCTTTATTTTCAATTTTCTAAATGAACTGTTTCTGTTTTTCCTCTGAACTGTAGATACCATCCAACTCAAACCATGTTATAAAGGAATCAATATTTTGCCTTCATGCTACTCAAACTGCAAAATCCATTAAAGACACACTTTTTCTTTATATAATTATGAAACCACTCCTTTCTTTACATAAAATTCAGTTCTATCTTGATGCATGTTAACCATTAAGTGACATGAGAGAGGGAGGGAAAAAAAAATGTTTGCACACACACACACACACACACCACACTAAGCCACACTGACCAGCAAACAAAGCAATCTCATGTGAGCTCACCCAGCAACGCTGACATGTTCTGGAAAATTCGAAGCAGCTCCGGGGTGATGGCTGGGCTGTTCTCCAAAGTCACCAACCTGCATGATGTGAGAGACGAACAGAGGAGAGCAGTCAGAGGGGGAAGTAAAAAGAAACATGAGGAAGGGAACAAGGAAAAGAATAAAAAATAAAAAATAAAAATAACAAAAAGGGAATAAGAGATGATGCGAGATAGAGTGCAGAAGACATAGATTAAAGACAATGGGATATGAAATACAACAGGATGAACATGGGGATCACAAAGGTGGGAAAACATAACACACGGAGGTGTCAAAGAGAAAAGGGAAAAAGGAGGAAAGCGATGTTGGCGGTTTGCTCAGTGGTGCAACAAATCTGATAACAAGAAACATGTTATGTGAAGCCTGATGGATTCAAGCAGTACAGAGACACAACGTTGACATTCTTACATATTTTACTATGAAGTAGAGCCAATATTTGAGAGTTTCGGCTACTGCTGAGACTAACTGAGCAACTTCATGTCAGAGAGGGGGCTGTAACTCATTCTGGGTTTTTCATTTTAAAATGTTTTACATACCGAATAAGCAATTAAGGTCGTGACTCGATAATCCGACACTAAATGTAAAGCCTTCTTTTATGTCGGATAGCAAGGCTGTTGGATTGTCAAGACGGAGATCGAGATACAAGGAGGGCTTGATGCTTGAAGGCTCATTTGTTGTTAATATTTATTGTTTATAGTTGTTATAATAACTAGTGTATTGTTAGAACACTAGGCATCACTGGATTTCATGCCTAATTGATCAGTGAGCTTGTGCACAGGCCCGTCAGTGGGGGAACGCTCCAACAGGGTGGAAGTACATGCAGTATTTGGCTGCCGATGCCAGTTTAGTTAGCGGTCACACTTCTGTTTCCACCATCGGCGGCGGGGGAATGGCAGATACGCTCCATCATTACCATCTATGTTTACTTCCGCAAACACTCGCTCGCTGTGTGTGACGTCATCGTGTCCTCTTCTGCGCATGCGGGACACTTTTGGGTCGTATGAAGTTCACACAGCAGATCACATACAAGTCGTATTGAACTTGAAATGTGAACGAACTCGCAAAAAAATCGGATTTCACAAAAAATCCGAATTGAGCATCAAGTCCTGCAGTGTGAACGAAGCCAATCTGTGGGATTGTTCAGTCAGATAATACGCCGTTATCCTGATTGGTGACATTAAATGTCATGTCGGAGTCGGAATCCAAGGCTGTCGGTATGTTAAGGCTCTTTTCATGGGTTCTGTTTGTTTTTCCTAAAAACCTGTCGGATAGCAAGGTTTTCAGATTGTTAAGGGTCGGATTATCGAGTCATGACTGTCATTATATTTGCTAATAAAAGAGAATAAACCTGAGTTGTCATTGGGTTTTGACTGCCCCACACATAACTATAGATAAGCATAAATATATGGTGATGATGGATTCATCAGGTCTCTCACCTCATGTCCAGTCATATGTGATGGATTGTCAAGGTTATTGGTATAATGAGATTTATGGTAAGTATCTAATAGGGTCAGTCTGTGTCAACTCAAAGAATTCATGAAATACGATGACGCACTACACTTTTATTCAGAGCTTTTTTGTTAATTGGGACCCCAAACTAAGTACTGAAAAATATTTTTTGGCTGAATTTTGCAGAGTATTAGAACAATGTTTTGTATTTTCACCTTTTAAAAAAATGGTTTTAGCTTGGAATCCATTTTAATTTGTCCAGAAATATAATTATCAGAACCATGAACTCTAATGAGGACACAGAGAAAATAGCCTATAGCAGATCTAGGTGGTCGATTGACTCTAGCAGAGGACAACTTTTTAAGTGTTGGACCTTAAAAATGAAAAAAAAAAAAAAAAAAGCACAACGTCACAAAAATCTCCCAAAAGTCAGAAACTTAGTTTTGAGCCCATGAGGTCAGTATATATTTACATTTTGATTTCGTTAAGAGAGATATGTGTAATTACTAATTCTCAGCAATAGTACGGGGCGTGTTTGTACTTTTTTTTGTTGATTATCCAGCTTTGATTTGGTCGTACATGTATGTCTAAAAAAAATAAACTGTAGATCTATTCATTATGCAGCAGAGTAAAAACTAAAATACACAAACAGATGATCCAATAACATGAAATAAACTACTTTTAGTTGAAGTCTGTAAACTGGGAGGGGAAAAAAACACATTTTTGAGGTGCAACAGTTGCTTCTAAGAACACAGTTCATCAAAAACTCCACAAAGTCGCCCGATTTTACCAACAACTACTCAAGATGACTAGACATGAGCACGGCAGACATTGAGGCAGACAGAGAGAGAACATCTAATCAAAGATAAAGGCAAGAGAAAATGACATTGACTCTGTAAACAAGGCAAACAAATATTTCGGGCACAATTGTTTGTGAGACAGGATAAGAGACAGGACAGAGACGTAGGACTGAGGCTATGTGCTACGAACACACAGCATGAAAAAACAATGAAGCTCTCCACGGGGACAGACAAAAAAAAAAAAAAGAGAGAGATTAAGGAGGGAGTTTAAAAGCAAAGAGATGATGGCAGAACAATAAAAGGCAACCCTGACAAGTTCTGCAATTGCAGAAGTGACATTTGCAAAAGTGAGCATACTGTTCTGTAGTGGGTTGTTGAGATAGCTTTAAAATGGCACGCTCCCAAAACAGTAGCATGAAGACGAGACCGTGGGCCACCCAAATTATCAACAGCTTTATCATGAGTGGTGGCCGGTGACGAAGCAAATTCCAAGTAGACGTAGTGGGCAGCCCATTAACCATGACTTATCTGTAAAGTGTTTGCATTTGGTTTCTGGATGTGTCCTCAACACGAGTGAGCAACGGAGGCTGATGACTCATATGACAAAGAAAAGACCCCTGAATGAACGAAGCCATAGAAAAAAGGGCAAAGAGATAAAGAGCGCTGTAGACATATGTGTGTGTACGGGATAAAATGAGAAGTGCTTCACTGCATGTGCGTCCATACCAAAGCTCGAGTCCGTCCTCTAGCAAATACACATGTGGCGGCTGGGAAACATCGGTGCTCAGCTGGATGACGGGAAGAAGGAACGGGTACAGGTTCTTACTCTCGGCCCCGAGGCCCTGTGAGAACACAAAGATACAGGAAGTCAGTGCCAACAAATAAAAACCTGACGGGGAGCTTAACTTCCACTTGATGACTGTTCCTTGCAGATCACCTGAGCATGGATGGATGTATAAAGAATTTCAACATACTACTACTACTACTGCTCTGACTCGCCCTTTCCCACCAACTGTCACCATGCCTGCACTGCCGGTGAGAGCGCGTACCTTGTTCTTAGAATAGAAGGAGAACACATGAGGGGTCCTGTCTCCTGCAAGGCATGTGCAACTGTTCCCATTTTCAGTGACAGGAAGGTGACAGATATGGCGGCTTTTTGTACTTGAAGGGATTTTGCTTGGCTGCAAAATACTTGCCTTGAGGTAGAACAGTTGTTAGGCTTTTTTTTATGTTCCTTTTATGGCCCCTTTTAAAAAAAAAAAAAAAAGTGTGAAAAAAAAAAAAAAAAAAAGTGTGGGCCCATTAAGTTGGAAGGTTTGAAAAAACACTCAGGTACAACTGCAGGAACTAAGATACGGTGTTTTTAATGATCACTGAGATTTTAATTGACGTATCGCTTTGCTACACATGCACTAGACATAAGTTTGTCACTATACAGTGAGATGGAGAGGCAGGATGAGCAGCTGAGCATCATCCTGACCTCTACAGTACAGCGTGGCTTTTAAATAGAGGACAAAGAGTAAGTACCTCAACAGTAGACTCACAGCTGGAATAAAATCCGTCTATTAACCGTTGTGACACCTTAATACAACCTCAGCTCTAACTCATTATTATGGTTTTTTTGAATAACATCTAACCTAACCGGTATTCTGTGTGATGAATGCACAGTGTGGGTTTTACATTTTACTGTGACTTAATAACAGTCTGGAGTTGGTGTGAGAATTTCAAAGGGAACTACAGTTAATATCTGTGGCTGGATTCTGCTTCCCTGTTTAAAACCTCAACGTATAGAAGTGTAACAGCTGCACATCTTTTTACTTTAAGTTAAAAAATGTAATTATATATTATTGTATTGATCATATTTCTGCTATTATGAACATAGTGATGATATAAATTTGTAATGCAGTAATGGTAAATGGTTTGCACTTATATGGTGGTTTTCTACCTTAGCGGCACTCAAAGCGCTTTACAATGTGTTTCTCATTCACCCATTCACACACCAATGGCGACAGAGCTGCCATGCAAGGTGCTGCCTGCCATCGGGAGCAGCTTTGGGTTCAGTGTCTCGCCCACTTCGACTGTGGAGGGGCGGAGGATGGAACCACCAACCTTACCATCAGAGGACAACCGCTCTACTACCTGAGCATACATTTTAAACTTCTTAGCTGGACGGTTCACACTGAATAAAAGCTTGCAGAACAGAGAAGGACATAACTTTCTTTAATCCATTTTAAAACCTAAAATGCTGCCTTACATCTAAATTCAACAGCAATGTTAAAACATGATGATATATCTTTTCATGGCTGTAGATTCTGAGACGGGCTGGTGCAATAAAAGTTCTGATAAAAGGTGCCTTCTGGGTTAAACTACACTGAGCTGCTTTCTGTAGAACAAACAAATGCTTCCTAATTAAAACACTGCTATGCAGCATTAGTTCAGTCACTGATTTATTCATATTCTAGTTGAACTGTTTGTTTTGTAATGAACTGAAAGAAAATATTTTTCAGCTGCGGATTTTATTGCACAATGACCTCAATCAACCATAACAATTGAATTGAGGTGGGAAAAAAAAAGGCATCCAAGTTCAGAGTATAATTCATTAAAAGGAAAGGATAACCTACCCTGAAGCAAAACAGCCAACGCAGGCGACACAAGTAAACACACACCAAAAACCTGACTGCACACACACACACACACACACACACACGCATTTGTATCCACAAACATTCTGTCACGCGCATGAACTCAAGTACTTAAAGTTTCCACTTTTAGCAATAACAACTATGTTTAGTCTAGGTTATGAATTATGCCCTCTGCAATACGCTTTCCCCTTGAAACATCACTTCCATCTTCTTCACACATCCCCTCAAGCTCCTGTCTGTCGATGAAAACTTAACCACGGTCTGACACCGTGCCTTTTCAAAGCACCCCATCACTTTGAGTTTTGCTCAGCCACTTTGTATATTCACAGAAAACACTCACAAGAAAATGTGGGAAAGGGTAAAGAGATGAGAGTGTTTGTTATGTGCGTGTTTTTGCTCCTGTTGTGAGGACATAATCTGTTTACAGGATCTCGGTTCCAGGAGGTGGACCACAAAAAAAACATAACATGAACTATTAAATTAAAAGTGGAAGACTGGCCTTAAGGTTGCAGTAAGATTTAGATTAGGTTAGGGTAAGGGTTTAATCTGGCAATTAGTAGCTGTGGTCAGGGTTAAGATAGTAATGATGGAAAAATCACTGTGTGCACGTGTGTGTGTGTTGTAGTGGTGGGAGAATTCATGTGTGAAGATCTAAGTAAGTTTTTCAGAACTGTCAACACTGTTTTACTGGTGGCATGACATTAATTTGGTCTAAATATGCTCCCCCCTGCATCTGTGTGGGTGTAAAAGAGATAGAGAGCTTTGCTCAATCCCCAGTTGGCACAACCCTGTCTCTCCATCACAAGCAACAAGTTTCTTGCAGGCGAAATCCAACCCACTCTGAAAAACAAGCAAGTCAATATGCCAGCTTTTATGAGTTTAAAAATTGGTTTAACGCCACCGGATGAATAACGCCTTTCCCAGATGGACTAAAGTCAAATAGTCCAAATATTAAACATTTGGCAGGCTCTCGTCTCCACCAGTCTGTTCCAGAGAGCTGCAATTGTCCTTTGTATTATGCATAGATGATATTTGCAAGACTGCCCAATTTCTCTATGCCTATTGCTGTGCTGAGTGGGGAGACTGCTTTGTAGTCCACTGCAGGCACAGTTTAGGAACAGTCAACTATTTTGACTCAAGAACTAACTCTTCTTTAAAAAGAAAAAAAAAATAAATCTCCGTTATATTGTACAATGCCCTGAAGAACAACTTCTATTCTTGCATATTTGGTCCACCTAAATGTTTCAGATCATCAAATTAATTTAAATATAAAGACAAAGATCATCCAAGAAAACACAAAATACAGTTTTTAAATTGGAGAAATTCTGTCCTATATGAAAAGCAACTGCCCCCTTAGCTACCAATCTACCACATGACCAAACTCATTTGGCAGTTGGGTTCAGTTTCAGCAGCCACACCCACATATAATTAATGCCACGCTTGTTGAATCTAAACATCACTTAAACAGAACCTGTCTGGCATTGTGAAGCATGCTAAAAGATCTCAAGAAGCAGCACATGATGCCACGTTCTAAAGAGGTTCAATAACAGATGTGAAACAAAGTCGCTGACATTTATGAGTGTGGAAAGGGTTACAAAGCCATTGTTATGGCTCTGGGACAAAGCAGAGAATCGTTATCCACAAATGGAGAAAACATGGAACAATAATGATCCGCCCATCAGTTCGTGACCTAAAGATCAGGCGGGTTATGCAGTATGACAATGACCCAACGTACACATGGAGGTCCACTTCTGAATGGCTCCAAAAGAACAAAATTAGGGTTTTGGAGTGACTGAGTCAAAGTCTGGACTTCCATCCATCCATTATCTATACACCACTTCATCCTCACTAGGGTCCCGCGGGGGCTGGAGTCTATCCCAGCTGACTCAGGGTGAAGGCAGGTTCACCTGGACAGGTCACCAGTCTATCACAGGGCTACACTTAGAGACAGACAACCAAGCACACTCACATTCACACCTACGGACAATTTAGAATCACCAATTAACCTCAACATGTTTTTGGACTGGGTGGGAGGAAGCTGGAGAACCCGGAGAGAACCCACGCTGCACGGGGAGAACATGCAAACTCCACGCAGAAAGATCCTGGGTGTCCTCACCGGGATGTGAACCGGCAACCTTCTTGCTCTGAGGCAACTGTGCTAACCACTTAGCAGCTGTGGACTTCAATCCAATTGAGATATTGTGGCAAGATGTAAAAGAGCAGTTCAACGATTGAAAACCATCTAATGTGGTAAGTTATTTGGTTTGAGTGGGAATAACTTTATCACAGGGATGATTTAGGTTTTCAATAAATCTTCAATAAATTATTTAAAAACTGCATTTTATGTTTTGAAGGCTATCACTGTCGAATATCATAAAAAAAATTAGTTTGATGATGTGGAATGTCTAAGTGTGAGACTCAGAAGACATCAGGAAGGGGGCAAAATGTTTTTTTTTTGTTTTTTTCACAGCCCTGTATATATTAAAACCTAATTAGTATGTGGCAACAGTGTTGGATAATCCAAGACCCTTCAGCTGTACACCCTCAGTGTCACATTCAGTTTGGCAGATGTGTACTTATGTTGCTCTCTCAAAGGCACCATGTCTTATCACTGAGCACTTCATCTCCAACTGTGAAGTCATGCAGCTGCAACCACATGGGAGTTTGAACTTTATTGAAGGCTGAGAGAGGCTGCTTCAATCCTTTGGGAGTTAGAGATTCTGTCCAAGGCTATTTCTTCTGAGCTTAAGTGTGTGCTATTGGGCCAAGATATTGAAAATGTAATACTGTACAAATCACCCGACAAACACATGATGACACTTTGCACTGCTAAAAACATACATGACATATTTTTTGTTTTTTAAAGTGTGTTGTTGAAGTCATATCATCGTGTGAGCAAGTGAATCTGAGAACAAAATGCCTTTTTCAGCAAAGTCATCGATTCCTACTGGTGACGGCAAAGTAAAAAAATAAAACCGTGTCTCCTCAGCAGGCATTTTCAAACTCAATTTTCTCGCCTCAGCAACAAGTATCCAGAAAAATAATACCACACTTAATGCCAGTTCCACTAAACAGCACCAACTATCACTCTGGGAATTCTGCTCAACTGAAACGGATGCTTCTGGTCACAAACGCTGTGTGTATGCAAAAAACACACCAACATAGATGCACCGTACCTGAACCAGGTGGATCAGCGTCGTGAGTATGGCACATCGGAGCATGTTGTGTTCTTCAGATTGCTTCCAGAGCAGGGGCAGGTACTGAACCAGGCAGCCAACGTACGGCCGGATCTGAAGGAGGAGAACATTAATTGGCACAAATTACAACCTGGAGGTTCCACGATATTTAATCCGTTTAAGCGATATCCAATTTGTGACGATCACTGATTTACTGCTGTCTCAGCAAAGCAGTATGCATATTTATAACATGCCTAAACACACTTCGAGACCACTCGAGCAACCGCTTATTTGGCCTTGAAAGCGTATTACCATTATGTATGCAGCATAAAACAAAAACAAGCAGCGATGCAATTAGTGTAACGCTTCCCCTCAAAGCTTTGTGAATTTGTCTTTTTTACCAGCAAAGGCAGGCCCCGTTCCCTCCATCCCTCCTTTGCCTCCATCAGGTCAAATCAAAACATGCTTCAGTGCAATAGGTGAGGAAATAAAACGCTGGACAGCTCGCTGAAAATACACCATATATATTTTCTTCTTGGTTTGACAGGGGAAATTAGATCTCTAATCCGAGAGATTTAATTATCTCTGGGAACCTATGTAATTGGTTTTCAGTCATCCAGGTCGTAGTAATCATTGGTGCTTAAATAGAAGGCAACTGAACTTCTTGATGGTTCTTCAGTACATTTCACCTCTCATCCATCAGCTTTCTCACTTTAAATGACCGGTGACAGGTTCCAGTTATATTTTTAAGGCCGTCTGTGGGTCATTGTAGTTCGTTGTCGTCAGTGCTTCTGTAACTTGTCTTCTTTACAGGTAGGGTTGCTAGCCCTACACAAACCTGTTTGACCCATAGGTGGCGATGTCATTTAGTCCAGACCTTCATCCCTGAACCTTCCTGGTATAGCTCTGGGGATCATCAGGCCACACAAGCCCATCCACCCCGATCAAGGCGACATCTTTGGATGATGTTTGTCTGAGGCGCATCTACAAAATTCGATGGCAGGCGAAGATCCGAAACAAGCAGGACAGGTACCAGTGGCTAAGCAGATACTGTGGAGGAAGTGGGGCTGGATCGGACACACCCTCAGGAAGCCAGCGTCCAGCACCGCACGCCAAGCCCGGACCTGGAATCCGCAGGGGAAGAGGAAGAGAGGCCGGCCTCGCAACAGCTGGAGGTGAGACACTGAGGCAACTACGCGAGAGCAACACTGACTAAAATGGCCAGAAAAGCCCAGAACAGAGTGCGATGGCGAGGGGTCGTCGATGGCCTATGTTCCATGGGGGCAATGGGCTAAAGAAGAAAGAAGTGGGTCATTGTTCACACACAACTCATATGAATCAAGGCAGGATTGGTGGTGAAACAGCCGGTGAAGGGTTTTCAAGACTGCTTTGTATGTAGCTGATAAGTGGTGCTTGACACCATATGAGAGGAGGAGTCATGATGACCATCTCTACACAGAGAACCTGTCATCAAGTTCTTCTGTTTTAAACATGAGAAATAACTGGGCAGTTAAGACACAAAGTGGATGCCATTAATCTCATTTCTGTGTGAAATTAGCAAACGTGATGGCACACTGGGTGATATAGGGGCAGTTACTATACAGGCAGCCAACTCCAAGCATGGCACTACTCCTGCATCACAGACTTCAAAAACCGTTCTGCCTTTTTCTAATGCTGACTTGTGCTAACCCTGCATATTCCCTGCAGTGGCTATGAGGCCACTGCGACTCCACACTGGGAGTTTTTGCTCGATTACACCTTTATAAGTGTGGGCTAGGAGCAGAGGGAACATGTTAAAAAAAAAGAGAGAGAGGGAGATATGACACACTGCTGTGAGGAGAGAGATATAAAATGAAAAAAGAAAAAAAAAAAAACAGACCCGCAAACCAGCCTAGGATGACATTTGTGAGACGGCATAAAAAGAAGCTAAATCTCATCATATCTGTCATCATGTTCATTTCAACTCATGGTTTCATTCCCTAGTTTTCTCAACTGCTGCCTCTTTTTGTGGGCTCAAAATCCCTCGTGAGAAGGGTTAGAATACTAATAGGACTTCCACTGACTCCAGACGTTTGGCCAGGGCCGGTGACTGGGGAAGACTTAACCAGAACGACAGTTCATAAGGATGAAAGCCATTTCTGTGACAGATTTGAGTCTAGGAATCATTTAAGGGAAGGTGCTTAAAGTAGATCAGAAAAGAACCTGGGGGGGTCAACTAGAAGGTCATTTTTATTTATTTTTTTTCTTGAGAGTTGGCAGTTAAATGGATTAGAACTACTTAATGGATGCTCAGAGAAAAATAAAATCCATACGGCCACAAAAGCACCGCAGTGGCAGGAGGGATACTGTATCTTCATGGTAAATGAGAGCAGACGTCGGAACAAGTGCTGCCCGAGGCCTTGTGATTTACAAAGATTCAAGAATTGGACAAAGCCATTTCACAAATGCCATCGTCTAAGAATGTGAAAAACAATTCCCGTCTACCTATCTGTGAGGACGGATGGTTGTTACACCTTGGTGGTCTGAGGGATAGTACAAGGTGACAAATGTTTTGCAACTTTGCTGTAATGTGTTAAACTGTTTCACAAGTCCCCGGGAGCATCTAAATCAATCACTGCACAGTTATTCTTCACAAAGCAGCAGCAGCAGGGTGTCTCCCTGGGTGTCCAACGCAAGAGCTCCACCAACTTCTCTGTTCATACTGTAGCTGATAATGGTACATAAATATACAGGAAGTGGAACAGTTGACCAAACATATCTCACCTGGATGTTTACTCTCTCGATGACACAGGAGATGACGTGGAGCACCTGCATCTTAGTGTCGCACTCCGTCACCTGCTGCAGCAGCTGGAAGAGCAGCCCGAAGATGGACTCAAGGTACTAAAGAGAGAGGCAGAGTGTAGCTGTTAGGATGTAGAAAAATCAACCTTCATTTCCTTGTTGGATATTTTGAAGTTCCTCGCTCAAAGTTTGTACTTACTGGGAGGAATTGTTCTGTCCGGAACTCAAAGTCATCAACAGGTGATGGAGAGTTAAAGAAGAACGGCTTAGGGCGTAGAAATGGACTCACAAGCAGTTCACTAACACTTTCTACATTCTTCATTTGCTCTGGCTAAGCTGCAGTGAGTCTCAGAAGATAAACAAGATCAATTCACTTGCTGCAAAAAGGTGTGCCCTATCTGAAAACTAGTTAAAGCACGGGAAGGATATTGAGTTTGAGGGTTGTTGCCGTCTCAATCCGCACCTATGAGGGGAAAAAAGAGAACATACAGTTAATTCTAAAGGGTAAAATTAAGCATCTATCAACGTACTCTGGATCATCAGCTAAAGGGAAAATATCCTAAGCCTGTGGTTTGAGCTTCTGGTACAAGTAAGCTAAGAAAAACAGAGAAAAAGAAAAGAAGCACAGAAATTGATAAACATGAACAGAAGATTGCCACAGCTGCAGGAAGGAATACAACCAAACACAAAGATCATAATTGCATTTTCCTTCAGTGACAGCCTCAAAAAGACCAACACAAACACCTAACTACGAAAAAAGCCTTTGAGAACAGAGTGCGAGTGTGCCTTCACCCAGCCAGCTAAATACAGGCTGTCTAATGTTATAAAAGGAAGCGGACCCTCAATTATTAGACATCCTTGCGGTGTAATCTGGCAGTGTCAGACTTATTAAGGTGAAAATGTCCACCGGGGAGAAAGTGATCAGATGGAGGAGAAGCCGCTGAAGAAGCTAAACGAGTTAGGAGAAAAGTGAAGGGCTGAGAACTCGGTTACAGCGAATTCTTTCACAACATATTTCAAGCGCAAAAGTCATGCGTCTCTAAGGGTGCATTAGCGGGTGAGTGTGTGTAATTTCTTGCCTGACTGTGCGAGCAGTGCTGCAGACAAACCTTATCATCTGCAATCCATCACAGTCTTTACGAACTGTGTAATGTGATTTTACTCCAAAAAGGTGCTTAAAAATATTTCACCTGTGACAGAAATGCAAATGGCGTTAATCAAAAGTGGAAGGTGTCTACCTCTGAATTATAAGCTTGCTCTGTTTGTCGCCAGAGCAGCTTATTTCCCCCCGACTTAATCAGTAACAATAAACACTAGATTTCTGTCTGATACAAAAGCATCTTCCGCCTTTTGTGTTTCATGTACACAATATAAATCATTGCATATTCATACAGCCACTGCAAAAGCAACTTTGCCTCTATCACATAGTTCAGGTCTTACTTCATGGAAAGGATACAGTGTGTTTGACGAATGGTGATGCACGATATTAACATTTCTGGCCGATACCGATATTAAGGTTTTCTGATATCACCGATAACCGATATTACCGACGTCGATATTCAACGAAAAATCAAAGACTGTATAAAAGCTACCGTGACGTCACCCATTGGTTTCTGCACTGAGAAAATGAAGCCAGGGTTTTGCTACTTCCTGGTTGACATCTTGGATTTTTGGAGCCAGTGACGCAAAAATCGTCGGAGGGGGGCGGAGTCATAGGAGCAGCGATTGGTCAGACGGATTGAGAGGCGGGCCCTCTCTGCCCGCCCACATTTACCGCCTTCTGTTCGCTTCGTCTGCATCGTCGCTGCCGACTGTCAATCAAGCCAGCCACGCCCCTTGCCCCGCAAAATGTTGACGATTTTTTTAAAATTCAGTATTGATTTATTTTCAGATTGGCCACCTGATCTCTGGATTTGACTATGAAAACTAATAAGAAAAAAATCCTGAGCTGTAGGAATGTGCTATTTCCTGATCTGTGATCACTTCTTTTCCAATTCAAGTCTATGGGAGCCAGGGCTTTATGGAGCCAGCAGCTAGCAGATGTAGTGATGTTGCAGGTTTTGACACTTCCGGGTTGGCTTCATTTTTTGGTTGGTTGCTACGTCCATCTTTTATATAGTCTATGCGAAAAATGAGTATAAGTAAGCACTGTGAGAACATGAAGATCATTCAAAAGAAGCCCATACCAAACTAGAACACAGACTTTTCTACTACGTAACAAAAGTAAAACATATTTAAACATATTTAACGTTCAAGTCCAGGACCATTTAAGTAAAAACATCTGTGAAATAGCAGCAATATCAAATGCAGAGACGAAGGCGCTAATGTGAGACAATCATCGCTTTTTTCACAATTTGTTCATCAGACCGTTACTGATATATCAGAAAAAAACACTAATATCGACCGAAACCAATGTGGTTGCCGATACATCGTGCATCGCCTTCATAGTACTACATCATTATTTTTTAATGAAATATGGAGCACCCCAGGGCTCCGATCTTGGATCTATATTTGTTGAAGTTTGTTTCTTTGTACTTTGACATGTGAATCGTGTGCTTTGCCTCTTGCGATGTTCTTCATATATGCTTACCGATTACAATGTTGTGATTCTGCTACTATGATCCTTTTCGGTAAACAACAGCATCTATCACTTGTCTGTCCATCCTGAATGATGGATCATTTGTCTGTTCTTCTTCCTGAGGTTTCTTCCATTTTTTTTCTCCTCACCCTGCTGAGGATGTGTTTTGGAGAGGTTTTTCTTTATTCAAATGCAGGGCTTTTACAATCTAAGGGCAGATTGTAATGCCACTTGAGGCAAATTTGTGATTTTGGACTATATGAATAAAAGCAGAAGTTAATTTAGTCGTTAGACCCTGTGACCCCAATACACTGGTCTTTTCCAAGACTTTAGAGACTGGCAGCCCTCTCAGCGGTATTCTGCTGCAAATCAATCTGAAAACTCATCGCAGACTGTTTATACTGTCCTGATTATAGCAATCAAGTGTTGAATAAAGCAGTTCTGGCCAAAACCATAGTTGCTTTATATGATGATTGTTGGACTTGGCAGTAAAAAACAACTTTTTGTTTATATTTACTGCCACCTAGATCGTATAGCATCATTTGTCACACAAATACTTATTTTCTTCATATGTTTAACACTATTTAATATGGTTAATCCTAGATTATTGTTGTCTTGCTGTTCATTATTTCATTTTCTCTTCATAAATCAGCAATATAACCATAGTCGTGGCTCAGTCCCCTAAAACACATCTTAACCAGTACATGGAGTCTCACTTTTCATGCTTTTCATACTTGTAATGCCAATCAGTTCACTTCAAAGGTAAATCTGTTTCTGAAAGTCACGTTTGCTGCACCGCGTTTATATTTTCGAGCGTCAAACCAGCAACAGGATCACACTTCACTAGCTGGTGCATTTTTCCAATTATGAGAGCGACTGATTTAAATAAACAGCATGCTTCAACAGAAACAACTTCCCCATCTTTACCTCCCCCCATACCAGCCACTGCTGCAGAGAATCACAACGGCACAGTTGATAACATTTATGCTTTCTATGACTAACTACGAACAGTTTGCTAACGAAGCACTTGAAACTAAACGCACTGAGGCTACCACGATACCATCAACAATAAACAAATAAATAAATTGTAAAGCAATGACACTGCAATAACCTTAATATAACATGGATGTGTCAAAGGAGTGCCTGTCATCAATATTTAACAACTGCAACAGGAGCATTGATTTTTCCTGCAGTGCTTCAATCACAGGATCTGGAGACAAAAATACAGCTTTTTCTTTAGAAGACAGTATAAGATTGAGCATCTTTATGACTTACAGATTCTTGGAGTACAAGGCGGGGCACAAAAAAAGATGTCAAACAGCCAACGCTGCAATCCTTTACACAGAGAGTTCAGGTCTAGCTTCACCAAGGCAGCAAGAAGCCATCACTCAAGCCACTGTCAAAGATTTAACAGTTGGA